TGAGACCAGTAGAGTATCTTAGATGGCTGCTCACAAGCTTTTAAGACTCCAGACGCTACTCACCAAAGTAAAATGTAGAACATTTCCTTTATAAACTATTTTATACCAATTGAGTTAGATTTTCTCCATGGTCCCTACAGCCCTGAGCCCAGTAATTCGGTCCCTCAGGGAGTTTTGAATACCATTGACTCTTGATCATATGCTACTTCCTGAAATGGTTGAACATCAACCAGTTCTTTTTGGTACAGGGACTCAGTGTATTCTTTCCATCCATAGAATCCTTCAATATTGCAACTTAAGGCGTGAATTTTTTCTTCAGCTCTTTCAGCTTGAGTAATGCCAAGTGTGTTCTTCCCTTTTGGTTTTCTAACGCCAGGGCTTTGCACATGTCATTATAATACTTTACTTTGTCTTCTCAAGCCACCGTTTGAAATCTTCTGTTCAGTTCTTTTACTTCATCATTTCTTCCATTCGCTTTAGCTACTCAAAGTTCAAGAGCAAGTTGCAGAGTCTCATTTACATCCATTTTGGTCCTTTCTTTCTTTCCTGTCTTTTTAATGATCTTTTACTTTCTTCATGAATGATGTCCTTGATGTTTTCCCACAACTTGTCTGATCTTTGGTCATTAGTGTTCAGTGCATCAAATCTATTCTTGAGATGGTCTCTAAACTCAAGTGGGGTATACTCAAGGTCATATTTTGGCTCTCATGGACTTGTTTTAATTTTCTTCAGCTTCAACTTGAATTTACATATGAGCCATTGATGATTTGTTCCACAGTCAATCCCTGGCCTTGTTTTGACTGATGATATTGAGCATCTCCATTGTCTCTTTCCACAGATGTAGTCAATTTGATTCCTATGTATTCCATCTGGCAAAGTCTAGGTGTATAGTCACTGTCTATGTTGTTGAAAAAAGGTATTTGCAATGAAGAAGTCATTGGTCTTGCAGAATTCTATCATTCGATTTCTGGCATTGTTTCTATCACCAAGGCTATATTTTCTAACTACTGATCCTTCTTTGTTTCCAACTTTTGAATTCCAGTTATCAGTAATTATCAATGCATCTTTATTGCATGTTTGATCAATTTCAGCCTGCAGAAGTTGGTAAAAGTCTTCAATTTCTTTATCTTTGGGCTTAGTGGTTGGTGCGTAAATTTGAATAATAGTTGTATTAACTGGTCTTCCTTGTAGGTGTATGGATATTATCCCGTCACTGACAGCATTGTACTTCAGAATAGATCTTGAAATTGCTTTTTGACAATGGATGAGACGTCATTCCTCTTCAATTTGTCATTCTCAGCGTAGTAGACCATACGGTTTCCTATTCAAAATGGCCAATAGCAGTCCATTTCATCTCACTCATGCCTGGAATACAGATCTTTATGAGTTCCATTTCTTTTTTGATGACTTACAGTTTTCCTAGATTCATACTTCGTACACTCCACGTTCCCATTACCAATGGACGTTTGCAGCTCTTTCTTCTCATTTTGAGTAGTGCCACATCAGCAAATGAAGATTCCGAAAGCTTGACTCCATCCACATCATTAAGGTTGACTCTACTTTGAGGAAGTAGCTCTTCCCCAGTCGTATTTTGAGTGTCTTCAACCTGAGGGGCTCATCTGCTGGCACTATATCAGACAGTGTTCTGCTGCTATTCATAAGGTTTCACTGGTCAAGTTTTTAGAAGAAGATTGCCAGGTCCTTCTTCCTAATCTGTCTTAGTCTGGAAGCTCAGCTGAAACCTGTTCACCACGGACAATCCTACTGGTATTTGAAATACTGTTGGCGTATCTTTCAGCATCACAGCAACATGCAAGCCACCGGAGTACAACAAACTGACAAGTGGTTGATAGACTCTCTAGGTTAGTTCAAATCCTATTACTTGTTGTGGCCATCACCATAAAATAGAACATTGTTGTTGCGGTCACTGTTGTTAGCTGCCATTGACTCATGGTGACCCCATGTGTGACAGAGTAGAAATGCTTCATAGGGTTTTCTTGTCTGTAATCTTTACAGAAGCAGATCGCCAGGGCTTTCTTCTCAGGTGCTGCTGGGTGGATTTGAACAGCCAACCTTTCAGTTGGTAGCCAAGTGCAAACCATTTTCCCTACCCAGAGACCTAAAATAGAACATAGGAGCCGAATATTGTATGTAATCAAGCAGGCAAGTAGTTTTTACAATATTTTATAACTGTTGTTATTAGTTGCTGTTGAGTTTGCTCCAACTCATGGTGAGCTTATGTAGAACAGAACAAAATGCGGCCCAGTCCAGTGCTATCTTCATGATCGTGGGTATGCTTGAATCCAATTTTATAAATAACAACTTTTAAAGTAGCATTTCACAGAGGACCCTCTACCAGGATGCCCATAAAACAAATATAATATGGCAGAAAGAACCCTGGGCTAAGAGTGGAGTCTTAGGCTTCAGCCCAAGCACTGCCCCTCACTGTGAGTGACTGAGTATGTCACCTGCCCCTCTGTGCCTCAGTTTCTCCATCTGTAGGATGTGAAAAGTATCATCTGTTTTAATTCGCAAGATTGTCTTAGAATCTGTTTTTAGAGTGAAAGAGGACATCAGAGATAATTTTACAGAATAAAGAAGTGAGGCTCCAAATTGGTGATTGACTCTCACCTAAAGTCACAGTTACATAGAGGCCCCTATGTAACCAGGATCTTTGCCATATTTCACAGCACTCCTTGCACCCCCATCTTCCTTGTCCTTAGCTGGAATCAGAAGACCAGGTTTAG